TGAAAAGACTAAAATTTTTATTAGAGATGTTCTATATAATTAGATTGTTCGAAAATAATTTCAGTCTATCAGAAAGTATTTGTGTTTGGATGTGAAGTGAAGTTTTGTGTCAAGTAGAATTGCAAAGCTGCGAGGATCGGCGATGTCTTTCTTATGCTAATAGGTTAGTTATTCTCTAGTAGCTGGTAGTGTCTGCTGCTGAGTGAGATCTGGATGAATGCGTTGACGTTTGCAGTTTAAATACTTGAGAGTAGTATCTTTCACCTGCTTGTTCATGATGAAGAGTGCGACCGTCATTAGAGCCACAAATAACGATATGTCATTGTGAATTAGTAGATAGAATGCTTGTGGTGGTGGGCTGTCAGGCTTAATTGCATTCCAAAGAACAAGGATTAAGAATGGTATGCCTCCACCAGCGAAAATGCCTATCACAATCACCATATTTCGAGCGAGTTTCATTTCACGTCTTGCATTTGGTACATCAGAACTTGTGATCTCTGAGACCGCAGCCGCGACGCGCTGTGATGATTTCAGAGCACGATACCAAATCGTAGTATAGATCAGAATAGACAAACCAAGTGGAATTACAAAGCCAACGGAAATAGCAAACATCGATGTAGAGAATTTCTTTGTACTCGGCATACAGAGACGTGATTCGCTTTCGAAGACAAAACCGTCCTGGAAGAAAAACGGTTCAATAGCAAATACAAGACCGATAACCCAGTTTAGAACAATCAAATACCAGTGAACTCGAAAAGTAAGTAAATGCTTATGCTTGAAAAACACAGTGAAAAAGAGACGACTAATAGCCTGAACCAGATACGAATAGCAAATCAACCCGCAAGACGCCAAGAAGCAATAGCCTCGAAAGGTACAAACTGGTTGATTCAGTGCCCAATCTTCACGAAAGCCATAGATAGATATGACAATAGTATTGATGAAATAGGTCGAAATAATAACACAAGTATTGCCCAGAAGAAGATTGGTGATAGTACGACATGGACGATGACTAGTGATGATCACAATCATCGTACAAGTAAAGAGCAAAGCGACAATCGAAGCCACAATCGAGAACGAAAAGTTGAGAGTAAAAAATAGAGTGGTGAGCATATCTTAAAAAAAAAAGATGAAGTTCAACTGATTGAGAACGAGAATCTGCTGGTTTTCTTTCAATATTACTCCATGCATAAAGCGCGCTATCTATTGTTATCGGCATGGCCGCGCATCGGTCACCCTGGCATGAGGAAGGTTTATACGCACTAAAAATAAAGAAAACTCTCTCCAAATCCAAAATTTCCCTACGGACAGATTTTGAAATACGTTGCAACCTCTGAGATACCCTGTTGATTTATTATATAAACCGTATTTTTCGTCCAATAAGTGTCTGAAAACGGGTTTTTTGACGAATTTCATCAAAAAAAATCCGTTTTGAGTCCCATTAGATTTCATTTTTTGTCCAAAAAACAGGTAGAATTTTAAATGTCATTCTGCTTTGAAGGCGAAACTGATATTCTAGCGCGATAGAACTATCTCTGTACTATTCGCGGATACGAAAAATGATGGGTTTCTATCATGATAATTAGAAGCTGTAAGGTCCCTAACCGCCCCCATTAGAAAGTAAAAAAATAATGAAATTCCGTAACGAAGTGAAATTCCGTAACGGACAGTATTTACATTTGTTTGACTTGGTCCAGTTATGCTTTCTAGGAAATGAATTGATATTTTGAAAGCTCATGGAAAGCTGAATAACTTTTATATAGAGCATTTATTTGTATGTCGTTTCGTTACGTAGTAAAATGCTTAACTCCCAGGTCACCCTAAAAAAAATTTCCATTTTTTGAAATTCCGTAACGGTCAATATTTGTTCAATAACTCAGCTATGGCTGGACAAAAATAGATAAAATTTTTACTGGTAATAGATCTCAGCCAACTCTATCTATGGTAAAAATTTGAGCAAGTTTGCCTTGATTTTTGAGAAACTACAGGTGTCACAATATGAAAAAATGAAATTCCGTAACGCGCGGCCACGCCCTTATGCTTCTATGATTTGATTCATTATCCATTGATTATCATTGATGTGAACTAACGCAGCACGATTCGCTTCCAACTATCTATTTCAATTGTGTCATATCATCTAGCATATTTATCTGCTCATGCGTCTATTCACGCCTTTGATAAATGTACTAGGATGACACAAGGACAAAATTATGATATTTAAGCATTCAACAACAATATAAATGTGAGGTGTTTCACAATTATTCCAAATATCATTATACAGAATTTTGACTGCTTGTTTAGGTATATAAGTGTAAACACAAAGTCAAAAAGAGAAAAGTATTAAAAACTTTATAAATTTGCAAAGAAGCAAATAAATGAAAGAAAGAGAAGCGATGGAGGGGGTCACTCGTTAGCATTTCAAGGACAGAAAAACAAGAAAGAAGAGGAGTAAAAAAATCTGGAAAAACAGAAAAAAGTTAAAGGGAGAAAGATTCTACATTCTCTTGTTTTTGTATACAACTATTCTATTTCGATAAATGATGTCTATTTTAAAAAAAGCGATTCATGCTTTTCCATCAATTGATTTATACGATTACTACAAAAAAACTGACCAAGGCGATCGTTGTTTCTTTTATGAAAATCATCCCAAAGGAAATATAATTATAGAATAGTGAACAACCAACATGTGCCGAATGCATACATTTTAATCTTTTTTAAGTGTAGTGTCTAACGTAAGGCTTCAATGAGAGTTCATCAGTCACAGTATATACGTTATGAGCTGAGATAAAGGAGCTGTGATGCACTAATCGAAGGCCAACTCGGAATTTCTGTGATCATAGTTGTTGTTTTGATTTATGAACCAAGGAAAAGAAGGAAATAACCATGCAAAATGAGGAAGTATTATTGCTGAATGGTATCAACTGCTGATTTCAAAGTTAGGTTACTGTTTTCACTTAACATTGCTTCAAATAGAGATCACAAACACTTATATTATAAGATCGAACTTACTATTCAATAATGAACTGACATTAATCTAGAAGAAGAAAAAGTATACTAGTTATTAAAATCAAACTTTCGATTTAACTGCCCATGAAATGAATCGAAACGAAACAAGTTGAATTTACTATTGATAAAAACTGTACTGTTCAGTTGCTCATCGACGTGAATCTAACAGCAAACAACGAATGAATTTATCATTGAAATTCAACTTATCATTTAGTTGTACATTTACGAGAATTTAAATTAGAAAATGAAACTCACTATTTATTAGAAAAAGCCTTACCGCTCAGTTGCTTATAGACAGAAATGTGAAAGCAAAAAAATAAATAAATTCATCATTGAAATTGCATTTATCATTTAATTGCTCATTGATGGAAATCAAAAAGAAAAAATGACAAATATTATTATTGAAATTAAATTTACCATTCATGCGTTCATTGACAGGAATCCGAAGAAAAAAAGAAATAAATTTATTACTAAAAAAATCTAACCATTAAATAGTTCCTGTAGAAGAATCTAAAAGAATAAAGTTAAATTTCATTATTCAATGCAAATATGCGGCTCAATAGTTCATGAGAGAAGTTCAAATAAATACAAAAAAGTACTTTAAAATAAAACTCATATATAAGTGATCAAGTCTGAAAGGTATTTTTGTTTGAATAAGTATCTTTTGATTCATCTATCCTGGAAGGTTGCGTGTTTAATATACTCATCTCTTATTTCTGCATATATCATGAAGAATTCAGCCATATTATATTATTTTTTGTTGAATTTGTCTCACATAACAAAACATATGGTAACAAATAAAAAAGATAACAGTGCCGTTACAATTAAAGGCACAGATCTATCCCAATATCTATAACAGTCTCTGTAAAAAAAATTGAACATCCATGCAGTTTGTTGCATGAAGAAGCAAGAGTTTCCTCACTCTGACAATCATTGAATTCACGTGAGTAACATACAGTAAAGATGTGGATATACGTCTTCTCTATATATACATCCACACCTGATGCCATAGGATTGATAGTGCATCGGTTACACTAATTGAATCCATTTATGGTGCCTGTCGAACACACAACTCGAATTTTTCTTTACTCACACGTATATTAGCATCACTATTTGAATCTATACCGAAAAATTTTAAAAATATATTTCTTCATCATGATGATATTAGTCATGAATAACCGAAAGAACCGAAAAGGCAATTAATGGAAATCTTTCCGAACGAATAAGTTTTTGGAACATAGTTCTATCTGTATTGATATTTATGTATCATCAGGACGTGAACGAACGCGTATTGAATCTCACTATATTTTTCTATTTATTACCGGATTTTCTAGATTAGAAACTGATGCTTTACAAGTATTCAAGCAACAGTATTTCTCACACAAGTCATTGAAAAATAGTATCCGACAAATTTTCGATTTGTTTCCTAAATTTTTCATCTTAGTATATATTTGAAATCTATACAGCCAGAACAAACAAAAACATTTCTAATCAAGAAAGTTCAATTTTTCGTCGATCCAGTTCATGAACTCTGTATTGTTTTCAAATAAATTCTTGGAAATAATACAGGTTGAATATTGACAGACAGAAAGTTGATTCTGGAATAGCTATCGACTAAATCAACACATCAACATGGAATTTCTGCAGTAAGTTATGCAAGACTCATTGAGACAATGAAGAATGATAACATTTATTACATGCAAGCTTGATATTAGTACTTAATTTGTTGCTTAAATTCTTCTTCCATCTCTTTCTTAGGAATTAAAAAAAGTTCGTAGTGCAGAATTCTCTACTCAAAGAAATATCCACGCTTACTGGTGTGAGTGTCAGTATTCGCTTGTTCCCTTTTAACATTCATATTATAGTCCGCACAAACTATCATACCCAGAATCACACTTCACATCCACAATCAAAATGAACCTTTTTGTGGTTCAGCATTGATGCCTTTGTATTATACTGCTTTATAATGAAATAGCGAATAATGATTTTCTGACAAGTTACAACATAGATACATGAAGCTCATTTTGAAGTTCTTGTTGTACTAGACTGATCCAATAGCCCACGCCAAAAATAATAGTATCGTCATTGAAGTTGTACGTTGGCGAATGAAGTTCACCGGATTGGTTTCCATTTCCCATAAAGATATAAGCACCTGGTTTCTGTTCGAGCATTTCAGCAAAATCTTCTGCATTCGATGTTGGTGTTGTGTTTCCATCGACGTTTTCGGCGCTTACGAGACTTTCAGCTGCTCTAATAGCTCTTTCTGTAGCCTGAACATCATTGACAAGTGCAAGTCCTTGTCGATTGAATATCACTTCAGCTTTGCACCCAAAACTAGTAGCAAGACCATCTGCCAACTCATTCATACGTCGTTCAATTGTATCTTTGACCTCTTTAGTAAAACTACGAACAGTACCACCAACACGAACTTCCGATGGTAACACATTCAGTGATTCGAGAAATCCACTTTGAATAGCACCGACACTTATGACAGCTGCATCGGTCGGTGCAATGTTATGACTTATGATTGTTTGTAATGCTAGAATGAATTCTGCTAGCACCACAGTGACATCGGTGGCTAAATGTGGTGCAGCACCATGGCCACCAGTACCTCGAAATGTAACAACCCAAGTATCGGCTGCTGCCATTAGTGGACCTGATCGAATGGCGAATTGTCCAACAGGTAAACCTACAGCATTATGTAATCCATAGATTGCATCCATTGGAAATCGGTCAAAAAGTTCATCTTTTATCATGGCAATTGCGCCATAGTGTTTTTCTTCAGCAGGTTGGAAAATAAAATAAACAGTTCCAGAAAATGAATCTCGATTCTCTGCCAGATATTTAGCTGCACCAAGTAACATTGTAGTATGTCCATCGTGACCACACGCATGCATGATACCAGGAATCGTCGAAACATAAGATACATCAGTTTTCTCAACGACTTCAAGAGCATCCATATCAGCACGCAGGCCAATAGAACGATTACCTGGTTTGTTACTTTTCAATGTGCCAACTACACCTAGCTTGCCCACTCCTTCAGTGACATTTATACTCCACTGTCTAAGTTTAGCAGCAACCATAGCAGAGGTTCGTACTTCTTTCATTGCCGTCTCTGGATAAGTATGTATATCCTGACGGATGAATGTCAGTTCAGCTTGCATCGCACGCAATCGACCAAGAAGATTGGGGCCCATTTGCCCTTGATTTTGAGTACTGGAATCTACATCTTTGAAAACAATTACTGCCGAAATGAATAACAGCAAAGTCCAGAAAGAAGAATGCATAGCTTCACAAAGTTTGATCTCGGTTATCAATGACAATATGTAGTCAAGAGAAAAGAGGATTATCGATGCAGTTCTACAAATATCATCTTTCAAACTTTGTCACGAACTTAAGGCAAATATTTTTACCCTTTCATTTCTATTGACAAAATTTAGTGAATGCTTGACAAAAGAAACATTCTTTTGTACCCATGTCTGTTCTTCAAGAATGTCCTAAAAGTACTTCGTGTTAGAATCGAAGTTTTGTTTGAGATTAGGATTCAGTTAAAAAACAAAAGACTTTTTAAACATGCTGTCATAAGTATCACTGAAATCTTCTATTATTGAATCACTTGCTTGCATATGTGCACTGAATCGTTGAATATTTGATGAGTATTTTTTTTACGACTTCTTTGTATATCACTTTGCTAAGGACTGAATATAATAAGAATTTTCTTATATTGTATTATCGTAAAAGTTTGTGTGCAGTAATTGTATGGCTGTCAGAAGCATTGATCAGATTTTCGATGATGCCAATTATCTCATTTGAAACATTTTGATAAGAAACTCAATTAAATAGATTTTTTGTTTGAAAAAGGGGTGTGAGGATGACTTCCTGTGAAAGGAAGACAAACCACGGCACTTTTCGCACACTCATATCGACACCTATGTCCCACGCAGTCTTTTGTACTTATTTGTTTCTTTTTAGTGTGTAGAGTTTCTTGTTATTATTTGTCATGATGTATGTACAATAGAAGGATTGAATGATTCGGTCATCAGACATAAAGAACAGGAAACAAATGATATCACTTGAGACAGTTTTCTTTCTTTCCTTCGAGACCTTGCTTAACAAAAGAAAATATTGATTTTTATGTATATAGTTCCGCAACACTATGCCAACCAATATCATATGGAGATATTGTTTAATATGACTAATATTAGATCAACTGGAATTTCACATCAATGTTTATGAAAATCGTAATAATTCAACCAGTACAACTATCAGATGGAATTGGATAATTTCATACTAATGTACTATAAAAACAATAGTATTTACCTCTGTTCAAAGCATTTTAAAAGAATAACTATAAATTCGATATGTCAGAGAAAACTAAACTAGTAAGTAAATGAATTTTATTCATTTAGTTTATATCATTATGTTTCATTTATAGATATTCTAGATATTCAGAATTTGACAGTAGTATTATTACTGCTATTGCTTTCTTCAAATGAAAATGGTGGTTCCTCAGCTTATTTTGCATGCATAACCACTTGTGCAGCTGAATGCTTAGCAGGAACAGCTCTAATTAGTACTTCACTATGTTTGAGTTCTTGTAAAATGATATTATTCAATTAATCACTGCTCCGACACCATAATATACATACATGTATGAACGCTGATTTTGTTTTTATTCTATGAGATTTCTATATGTCATATAAATGAATAAATTTTAAAAAAAAGAAAAAAATTTTCTTTAATTATCGAAGGGACACAACGAATTATATCAGCAAATATAACGTGAAAGAAAACTTACAGATAATTGACATATGAATTGTTTTTATAATGATGAAATCAAATAAACTAGTCTCGTATTTATGAGAATGAGATATGCATAACATTCAACAAAGTAATTTCTTTCACAAGGCTAAATTATAAATCGTTATGTGAAGAAAGAACAACTACATTAAAATGGAAACAAAATATTTGGTCAGTAAATTAAAGTAATTATAAAATCAGTGAATTTAAGGATTTAGAATGTGGGTATGCGTGTATGTATTTTGAATACATACCACACCCACACTCTTTCGAAGTTTCCTAGAGTACTTATTTGGGGATACTCGAGAGATTTCTCATTTTTCGCTTGACTTTCTGAGAGATTTAGCAATTCGACAGGTGTCTCTTGATGATTTTTGTGGAAAGAATCGTCTACGATTATGCAAGCAAAAAATACGTTCTATACTAGTAAAACGCATCGTAAAGAAGACATTCTCGAACTGCTTATTTGTCTTTTTATTGAAAAACTACGTCTTCCAACGCTGTTTAAAAAGTGCGTTTAAAGTTTAGTGAAAACATATAAGCTGAAAAAATAACGCATTGAAACATAAATTTTTCCGTTGTTTTCCTCGTGGGCTACGTTATATTGCACTTCATCCTTAACTGAATCTTAGTCGGATATTCTCACCAAACATGCCCTATGTTATATAAATATTGCCTGTAGCAAATCTGCAGTCAACCATTGATATCAATGGGTAGTCGCTCTCGTTATAAAGTCTACCTTTTTAAGAGATTATACTCTTGTTTTTACCATTGGTTCAAATAACATTGTGTTTCTCTCTATAAAAGTCGTGGATTATAAATAACACGTTCCTCGATTGAAAATTGAAAATACTAGTGCTACTATGAAACCAACAATAGATACGATACTCTGCGTCGATGCTTATAACGTATTAATGTGGACAAGCAGCTGATTGCTCAATTTCAACGAAGAAAAAATGAACATCCACAAGACAGAAATTTTAGACGAAAAAAGGTTTGGCCAACAGCCTGATATTTCGAAAATCTAATTTACGGAGAACGCAAAGCAAGAAAGATAATAGAGATTTTACAGATTTTCAGATACCAAAATCTACATTTTCCTTCTTGAGTTTTCCTTTACAATACTTCAGCATATTCTATTGGTTTTCAATGATAATCATATATATATTTCGAAATCTGTGTAAGAAATAAAATGTCATTATCAATATCATTGCTCAAATTCTATATTTTCTCTTCCAAAACTTTCTCACTTACACTGAAAATACGCTTACTTGTAGCTAAAATTATCCGAATTTCCAAAAGAGATTCTTCTTTAACAGACTAATGCCATTGTTATCTTTAAACTCGAAACAACCTGAATGTTGACACTGTTAAATTCAAGACTTACACCATTTTGTTCAGATTTCAATTCTACATCCTTTTACATAATAACAAATCTTTCATAGAGCAAGTCTGGTTTTTCAAAACATTATTTTCCAAAGTAAAATAAAAAATATCGACCGATAGCAACTTAAGATTATTAAATAATTTACTTTGAACATAGACATTAATGAGTAAAGGTTAACATAAATAAACTAATGTCAACAGAAAAATAGGTAATTGCAATTGTAAGTGTTTTAAATTTTGCGTTGACATGGAAAGTTTTATTTGAAATATAAATTCGACAGTTTTCTAGAGATTAAAATTCTTTATGTTATAACATATAAAGAAACCTTTGTGATGCAAAGAAAGTAATAGAAAAAAAAGGCACCAAGATGAAATGTAATTTATTCTTGAACATCTGTTATATCATAGAAAGGGAAAGTTTTTTTTTTACTATAGCTTATATGTTTTAAAATGTATTATTAGTTCAAGAATGCAATACACAACGTACTTTCTCGGTGTATATAATATGTTTGAAAATAAACGATGTGTACTAATAAAACCACAATGAAGAGAAACTAGAGAGAAATTAATTACCTCCCATAATATGTGTGTGCCTACAGGCTACAGCTACAATGCGGACACTTTTTTTAACTAATTAAGGTAAAATGTCCGCAAAGCAGAATCAGGGGGTATAGACAAAAATGACCGCATTTTGAAAATTGTCCGCAAAGCAGAATCGAGGCAGAGAATGAAAATGTCCGCATTATAGAATCAAGAAAAAATTTATTATGTGAAGAAAAAGAAAGATACAAGTAGTACGAGATGATTCAACATTCAACTATGCTTTGGTTCATAATCTTTGTCATCTTTGTCAGATGTATCCAATATGTGAATGTATCGGTAACAAAGAGAACGTAGTCTTTTTTGATAACCATCTAAATCTAGTAGACCATTTAAGTAATCTTCTTTTGCTTGTACTAAAATATTTTCATTATTGACTGAAGTTAACCTTTTTGGACGAGTTGTTCGTTGTTGTGCGTGTTCCTGTTCTAATCGAATCATTACTGATTATCGTCGATAGAATCGATTTGTCTGTACTGATTTTCTTACTATTTCTACTTTTTTTTTTGATTCTATAATGCGGACATTTTCATTCTCTGCCTCGATTCTGCTTTGCGGACAATTTTCAAAATGCGATCATTATTGTCTATACCCCCTGATTCTACTTTGCGGACATATTTTTCCTCCAATTAAGAAAAATCGCCCGCAATCAAGCAGACACGGTGCCTACAATAGTTTGTTAAATAGTGCTCTTTTTGATGAATGTATATGATGAATATATATTTTTTCGAAAAAAGAAAGTCAATCAATACAAAACAATATTGATTAGCTTTGGCATTGTACATAAGACGTATTCATTGTGCTCATTTTACAGCCAGATACGTACTTCAGAAAAACGTTTTAATAAGCTTTCAATGTATTGTTGTTCAACAATTTGTTCTACATAATCTTGCTTGATATTATATCGATAACTACTGTCTTTATTGATAATCAATTCGACGAGTTCATCAAACTGAAACACAACTAACGAAATAAATGCAGCAAGATTTTCATCAGGATATAAACCGATTTTCTCCACCCATAGAGAAGTGAGTCGTGGAAAAGAATTTGCCAATATAGATATATCGATACATTCAATCAAACTAGAAAGAAAAAATACATCATTAATAATTATTTAACAAATAGGCTAGTTCATCAACACTGGTTCAATATTATCTTTGCTAGAAAATCAGAACTTTATTGTCTATAATGATGATAGGTCGTGCAGAAATCAGGTTGTATGGAAAGCTATGAGTCTTTTAATAACATAATATTACTTCTAGAATTTTAAGATTAATCATTTTCGTTAAATATTCACTGAACCGGAGAATCTCGAATTCCCTATTATGATATATTCAAAAACTCATTATGTATCTATGCTCTTCATTATTGCTGCCACTACTATATGAATGACTAAATTCATGAATTTTGG